AAATGCAACGGCCCCCGTCGCTTGTGGGCGTCTCGGGGAGCCGTGTTCCCCCCGGCCGCGCCCAACACCGCCGCGGGATGGAGCCGGCGGCTGCGCCCCACTCCGGAGCCATTTCCCGGAGCCCTCCGCGCGCAGGGGGAGCCCGCGCCCCCCAAGAAAAAGCCCCGCTGGGACGGGGAACCGGCGGAGGACACGCCGCTTCAGCGCGGGTGCTGCGGGCGCGGGCTTTTGGCGGAGAAGGGAGTCCTCCCCGCACGCGAGCGCGGCGTCGGGGCAAGGGCGGAAAAAAAAGTCAAGGGGCGAGCGGCGGGGCTTCACTTCAACGGCCCCCGCGTGCCGTGAGCCGGCGGTGGGCGGCGCCGAGGGCATTCCCCCACTTTGCACGGGACGAGCGCAAACGACGACGGGAGAGACGCGGCGCCCAGGCGTGGCGGCGATGCAACGCACCCGCGCAGCCAAACTTGGCCCGCAAAAGGAGGCGGGCCAAACCTCCCGGGACAACCCCCTTCCCGAATGTAAATGAAAAAAAAACGGCAGCGAAAAGAAGGAGCGAGGTGGCGGGCCGCGCGCCCGCCTTCCAGGGGGGAGAAGCCTAACTTTTTTTGTTGCCCCAGTGCCCCGGCGCAGGCCCCGCCGAGGGGCGGCGTTGCCTCGCGAGGTGCGCCGAAATGCGCGCGGAAAAAAAAATGACATGGCGCGTTTCGGGGGGCCGAGGCCGCCCCGGCTAGCCGAGGGGAGAGGCCTCGGCCGGTAACCTTCGCCCGGCCGCGGTGGGGAACAAATCGGAAGTCGCACCCCGGCGCGCTGTGCCACCGGCGTCGCCCTGGTGTTAAGGCATGCTTCGTGGACAGTGGGCGTTTTGTTTTGCGTGCGCGGGGGCTGGGCCTTTGTCTTCGCCTCTTCGGCCTCGAGTGAAGGGCGCGGGCCCCTTTTGTAAACTTCTGCGGTGTCCTCGCCCTGGTGGGGGGGGCGAAAAGGCCGGCGTGAATAGACGAGGGCTTTCCTACACAACCGCGGGAAGAGAAGCAGCAGAGGCAAGTAGTTTTCTTTTTTTCCCTCCCGCTCACTTCCTTCCCTAAATTCAAAGCGGCGCCCCGCCCACTTCCCACCCGCCCGCGCGCACACCAACACAGACAGCAACGCCAAACGCGGCAACACGCGACAAAAAAACCACCACAGCAAGAACGAAAAAAAAAAAAACGTTGCCCACTCAGTTCCGCAGCGAGTCCCCCCTCAATTGTCACTCGGCCTTCTTCTCCGGCTGCGTTGCCCTGGGTGAGACGGTAAAACGCGGCCCTCTCTTTGCAAGGGACGCCTGCTTTGGTCGCATTGCTTGGGCAAGGCGCGACGACAGTTTCGCCGTGCACGCAAAGACGATAAGCCACAAGGAAACAAACGCAATAATCCATACAAGGAAGACGTCAAGCTGTTCAATGCGCAGCGGTTGCGCCTCTACACCCGATTCGTCGTTAAACACAGCACATCGCTCGAGCGACTCATTTCTTCCAAGCAGATGGTTGTGGTAACGGCTCTCAATAATGTCGACGGCCCGCTCAGCGCCACCGAGGAACCTGGAGACCTGAAGCAGTCGTCGCATGTTGGCCTTTGCCTGGTCTGCGTTTTGCACGACCCATTGTATTGCCCCCGAGACCGCGTCAGAGGTAAAGCGGTCCTTGTGCCCGACGCACCTCCCCACACCTGCCTCCTGCAGGCGCTGGCAGACGTCCGATTGGTCGGCGAAGAACGGAATCCCAACGATAGGTAACTGGGACTCCAACGCCTCATGCACAGAGCGGTCGCCGCAGTGCGAGACAAACGCCACCACTTTCGCGTGCTTCATGATTTTCAACGAGGAAGCAAAATAGGGCCGAAGGTGCGTCCGCCCCTCCATCTCTCCCAATTCTCCCTGGCAAAGGCGCTCCCGCTGCGCATCCGTCAGTTTCCAAACGACACAGTACGGAAGCTGCCGGAGGGCGCTGGCAAGCCGATCCGCCTGACGGCGGTGCAGGGAAACCAGGGTCCCAAAGTTCACGTAGACAGCGCCTTGTGGGCAGCGCCGCAGAAAGGCCGCAAGTTCCTTCTCCATGAACGGAGTGCGATCCTCGTCAAAGCTCAGAAGCCCCAATGGATGAAAGTTAGGGCACAGTTCCTGCGGAATATCAAACCCCCAAATGGTGGGGGCGAGCACGGTGTCGTACCAGCCGCCCAGCTCGTACCCGTTACGGAGGGGTGGGATTTTGTACAACGCCCTTCCGTCGTTCACGCGGTGGAGTGAGTCCGCCAGTCCCACCAGCATGCCGCGTAGAAGGAAGTTTTGCAGTCGCTGCCAACTGCTCATCTGCGCTGGCCATCCGGTGCCCATGAGCGGGAGGCGATTGAAGAAGCCCAGCGGAAGCATCGTCGTCAGCGGAAAGAACAGGACGGAGGGGACATCCAACGCACGCGCCACAGAGCCCCCAACGAAGGTGGCGGCATCGCTTAGTAAGACGCTGAGTGGGCGCCGGGCGTGCACCCGCTGGGCCGCCGCAAGGTAGCCGCCGAGCTGCAGCTCGTGATGGCGGAAGGACTCATTCCAGAGGTCCGCAAAGGTCAGGAAGACGCTGTCCGCGCGACTCAACTTTTCAAAAAAGGCGGCATCACGGAACACGCCGCGTGAAGGCATGTCAATACATGCCGCCCTGTCTCCGCCGTAGCGCACGATCTCCTCGCACCACCGAGGTTCTTCACTAAAGTACGTGACATGGTGTCCACGTCGGGTGAAGGCCTCTCCAATCGCCCAGAGCGGCTTCCAGTGGCCGTACAGCGGGATGCACATGATCCCAACGTGCATGGAGGAGTCATTGAGGGCCGCCGCGTCCAGGAAGGAGGCCGCCGCCATGGAAGTGCACCCGCCAGCAAGCAAGACAAGTAGCGTGAGCCAATACCACACGCATCCCCATGTGAGAAGGCCCGCCGTCATTGTTTTAGGATTTGCTTCACCCTCCCCACTCTGGCCGCCTGATGGATCCTGCTTGTGTTTTTGTGTTGCTGCTGCGTTCTCACGGTGGGGAGGGAAATGTGAGGGAACGGAGAGGAAGATGCAGTCGTCATGGCGAACAAGAACGGAGAGTCAAAGGCGGCGAGGTCTGTTGGGCCTGCGGTGTTCCTTCCGCCCCTGCCCTTTTTGTATTATTACTATCACTATTATTATTATTTTCCCGTCTCTTCCTTGCGTGAGTTGCTGTCGCGCCCAAGCTCACAAATAGCCATAGCCATAATAACAATAATAACAACAAATAAATAATAATATCCGTAACACTTATTAGGGTGTGTTCAGCCTTTCTTTTCCTTCCCGCCTTCCTTTGCACCCGCCCCACCGCCCTCCCCAACCCGTTTGTTTCCTTCCCTCGCTTTTCCTTCCCTTCTTCTTCTTCTTCTGCTTCTCTTGCTCGGATCTTCGCGTTTTCAGCGTGGGGGGAAAAATGAAAGGAAAAAAAAATACGTGGCTGCGGTGAAATCGCCTGACACACACACATGCGCGCGCGCGCGCGCGGCGGCGGCCGCCTCCTCAGCAAATCTTCGCCTGCGAAAAGTCCATCTCGGGGTGGGCCGCCATGAACTTGGCCAGCATGTCCCGCTTCTGCTGCTCCTCGGAGGTGGGCAGCCCCATCGCCTTCTGGCGCTGGTCGTACATCATCTTCTCCACCGTCTGCCGCGTCTCGCTGTCGAGGTCGTCTAGCTTGGAGTTCTCCGGCACCACCTTCTGCAGGTCGATCTCCGCGTCCCCCGCGATCACCGTCTTCCACCACTCCATCTGGTTTGCCTTTGTCAGCGTGACGACCACAGTGGCGCCGTCCTCGATGGTCCACATGCACTCCTCCGGCTTCACCGCGGCGTAGAGGTCGCCGTCGACGAGGGGCGGCCTCCCCCGCACCGCCACCCGCACGTGCCGCTGCTGCAGCACGACCTCGACGTCCCGCCCCCGGGCGTTGGCGATGGGCAGCGGCACCCGCATCTCCACCTCCTGCAGCGTCTGCGAAAACATGTAGTGCTCGTAGTCGAACCCGTTGCCCGCGGTCGGGGGAGCCCCTTTGGCTTCATGCCGTCCTCGTCCTCCTTGGCGTTGGCCACCGCGCTGGCCGCCTTCTCCATCTCCGACCGGCGCTTGGCGGCCTCCGCGGCGGCCCTCGCGGCCACTTCCTCCTCGTCCTCCAACACCTCCACGCGGGAGGCGGCGGCCCTCTGCTTTCGCTGCTCCTCCTCCGCCTGCTGCTTCCGCCGCTGCCGCTCTTCGGCCTGCGCTAGATGACGGTCGAGCGCACGCTGCACCGCCGCGCGAGCCAGAGGCGGCTGCGAGAAAAAGTCCGTCTTCCTGCCGAGGAAGGAGAAGAAGGTGTCGAGGATGGAGTCAATCCCGTCATGCTGCTGGGCAATCGCCAACAGCATGGAGTCAAATCGCTCATCCACCGACATCGCTTTGCGTGTGCGTGAGTGCAAGCACTGTCTCTTGTGCAGGGTTTGTCTAGAGTACACTTTGCTATTCCACGGGTTCCCACGCCCCCAACGCAAACGAGAAGCTGCACGCTCACAAAAAACAACAACAACAACAAAAACAGAAGGAAAACACCAAGAGACGCAAGCAAACAAAACGGGAGAACGCAGAGAGAGGGGAGAGGAGGTGCCGCACGTGCAAGGGGCCCCAATGGGCCCCGCAGCAGAAAACCCCTGCAACGCCGCGGACCATCAACCGCCTACGCGGCGATGACCGCGTAGCCTTGTGATGGCCCCAGCGAAGACGCATCGGCGGCACCAGAATGCGCTGGGCGAGGGGCAGGGACGAGGGAGTGAGAGACGTCGGACCTCAGAGTCGTTCGGGCGCCGCCCCCGACGGCGCATGCGCCACGCCAAGCAGCAGCGACCAGCGTCCCAACAGTTCCTCGAGGAGTGAGAGGCAGGGGCGGTCAGGGCCACGCAGCGACGCCATCACCTGCGCCACCTGCACCCGGGCAGCCCCACGCGAGAGGGTGCTGCAGCACAAGAAGGCCGCCCCGTCGCGGAGCAGCGAAGGGAGCCGCGCTTCGCGGAGGGCCAGAAACGGAAGCAGCTTCATCTCCACCTCAATGGCGTTCCACAGCCCCTCCAACATTCTCCACTGCAGCCTCGCCGTTCCACGATCGCCGTAAAGGCGCACGACAAAGTTGCCAAGCGACGCCGCGGACGCGCGTCGCTGCTGCAGACGGTTCTGCACTAAGCGCAGCCGCATTTGCTGCAGGGCAAGCCGCCGAAAGGTGGTCAGCGCATCCACCCGCACCCACGCCTTTCCCCAGTCGTCCTCAAAGAACTGAAGAAACACCCGCGTCACGGCTCGGCTGGAAAGCAGATAAAACCGCAGCACGGGGGACCAGCGCTCGATGAGCATCCACCACGCCTTGCAGACGCAAACCGCGGCGGACAGGGCACGCGGTGAAAGGTACTCCAAAATCATCCCCTGAACGACGTACGGAAGGGAAAGAATACCGGCGAAGAGCTCGGCGCCACGCACCTGGCTCGGCAACGCTGAGGTGGTCTCCTCATGCTTCCCCAAAGCCGCCGCGGTAGTGCCGTCGTGTGCCTCGCGGCCGCGTTTCCCCGCCACCGCCCGCGCGGCGTACGACACCGAGAAGGCATCCTCCTCCGCGGCAGCCTCACAGCTCGGGCTGCGGTACACAACCGCACCGCCGATGAGGCCGCACAAGGTGCGCGGGTTCTGGGACTCCCACCAGTACCACGTCGGCTTCTGCGTTGCGTGCTCGGCGCTTGATAGTAGCCACGGCAGGAGCGGCAGCACCGTCGGCGCCCGCCGCTCCTCCCCTTCCGCCGGCCTGAGCGTCCTTGGGAGCAGCTCCTTCCCGGCCTGGCAGCGAAGCAGCGCCCGCGAGAGGTTCAGCAGCAACAGGGCGATATTCGAGCTCAGCGTTGGCTCCACCGCCGCCTCCTCGCCCACCTCGCGCAGGTACGGAGTGGTCTCGAGAAGCGCGCACAAGGCTCTACGTATGGTCACCATGCCAATGCTCTGATGCACGTAAAAACTAAGACACGAAAGCAGCAGCGGCCCCAGGACCTCCTCCGCGAGCCCGCGGTCGAAGTCCGACATGTCTTCCTGCAGGTGACGCGCAGCGTGTCCCAAGTCGTCGCCCGCCCCCAGCCCCTGCGAAGCACCGCTCGTCTGTGCGGTGTCAAGGGCATGTTTCAGGCGAGAAAAGATGGTGAAGATGCTGTTGATGTGCAGCAGCACATCCATGAGGGAGAGCGCGTCCGTCGGAAGCCGGCCACGCCGCGCGCCCTCGCCATGCCCGCAGCGCTGCAGCAACTGAAAACGTTCCAGGAAGGACACGGAGGAGTGACCAAAGAAGTGGGGCATGGCCTCACATCTCCAGGAGTTTACACATATATATGCGTGTGTACACACGAAAAAAGCGGAAGAGAACAGAAATGCGGGGACAACGACCCACAGAGAGAAAGAATGAGTCGCCCACCGTCAGCAGCGGGAGGAGGGGCAAATATGTACACAATGAAGTGAGATGCCGCTGTGACGTCACTGCCTGCGTGCCATGCGTGTATGTGCGTGCCTGTTTGTGTGAGAGAGAGAGAAAAAAAAACACACACGCATGCACACCGAACAAAACAAAACAAAACAAAAAGGAGACAACCAAAGACCACAATTGGAGCCTCTCCTAGGAGTGGGAGAAATCGACAATGTCTGTCGTTTCGTGGGAGGCCCAATTGGAGATGCGCTGCTTGACCTTCGCCGGGTCCTGCTGCTTGTAGAAGATTGGCTGCTGAAACTCCTTCACGAGGTGGTTGCGGTCCTGCATAAACTCATGAAATGCCGAGAGGCCCACCATTCCCCCCGACCACGGCGTGGCGCCAACGGCGTCGTTGTTCCCTAGCCGCACCAACAGCCGCGGAATGGCCATGCGCTGCGGCTGAACCCCGTCCCGCGAGCTTAAAAAGCGCTCGGTCGGGTTGTACACCACCGAGTTCAGCCCACGGAAGATGGTGCGCACCTGCACGTCGCTCGAGCCGTAGCTCCGCACCCACGGAAGGTTGTTGCAGCGCCCCGGGGCCCATATGTTTGGGTGCCGGTACAACTGCATCAATGTACTGACGCGGTAGTGGCCATCCGGTGCCTCGTGCTCGGCGAGGATGTTGCGCCGCCCCTTTCCGGCCTGAATCGGCCGCGGCACGTCTCCGATGGTTGAAAAAACGTAATCAAATTCCTCCGTGCCGGTGGATTCCACCCTGTCCCCCGACAACTTCGGCTCGCGCCGGCCAAAGTACGCCTGACTCACGATGGACTGCTGCGGCGTCGGCTCAAAGTGCAGTTTGTCGTACCGCACCGTAAACCGCGTCGGCTCCGCCGGCGGCCTGCTGAACCCCAGCAGCCGCGCAAACGCTGAGGAGGGGCGGGTGTCGACGCGTTTGCCCTCCGCGTCGTACCCGTCTACGTCCGTCACACGCGTGCAGAGGTGCAGGGAGATGTTCTTGCGCCGCTGCAGCGCCTCGCGGGCGTACTTGCGGCTCGTGGTGGGCAGGGCGGGGATGAGCTCGGACTTGGCGTGGTAGAGATGCACCTGCAGCTCCGGCCGGCTCTGCGCCAGGTCCATCGCCAGCGACGTCCCAACCGGCCCGCCGCCGAGCACCGCCACCTTTTTGCAGGTGCCGAGGAAGTGGTTGAAGTGCCGCAGCTCCTGCACGCGACCCGCGATGCTGCGCTGCTTCGTCGCGAACGGGAACGGCTTGCGCTCGCCCGGGGCAACGAAGAGGAGGTCGTACGGCACCCGCCGGCCGTCGCGCAGCGTCACCGCGTCCTCCTCCACCCCGTCCACCGTCCCCGTCAGGACGTTGGTCCGCTTCAAGTAGTAGCGGTGCAGGATGAAGAGGCGGCGGCACGCCTCCTCGTTCCGCGCGTCCCACGGGTTCGCCACGATCGGGATGATGTCGTTGGTCAACTCAAAGTAGTTCTTCTCGTCAATGAAGGTGACATCAAACATGCTGTCAAACATGTACGCCAGCTTCGAGCCTGTGTAGCCGCCACCCACGACGACGCAGCGCACCGGGACGACGTCCTTGCTTGGGTCCAGAATGAGGTCCAGCGTCGGCGCCGAGGCCGCGAGGGTGGTGGTCGTCTGCGAGCGACATGCCGAGAGGGCCCCGCCAAAGACTCCACCCAAGAAGAGGCGCCAAAGCATCGCCTGCGTGCCGGCGAGCGAAGGAGCAAAGCTGGGAGGGCTTGGCGCCTGGGATCAGCGCGGTTAAAACCTAAATACACTCCCTTTTTCCTGTCGCAAGCGGTTGTGGTGGTGGTGGTGATGGGGAGAGGCAAGACACACGCGCACGCAGGTGTAAGCAGCGGGGCAGCGTGACACGTCACGGCGGGGGGGGCGGGGTGACGCTGGGAGCACCTTCCAGCCCCCACCACGTGACGGAAGCGGAATAAGCTCCCCCCCTTCCCACCAAACGCATACACACACACACAAACACAAACACACACATACACCGCCCCATCGGCACGACTTCCCTTCCTCGCACCGCGCGCTTCCGCTGTGACTGTCTCTCTGTGACGACCCCCACCCCCTTTCCCGTTTTCCTCCTTTCCTTCGGCCTCCCCCCGCACCGCCGCTCCGCTTCTTGTTCGTTCCCTTCTCTGGGGCAGAGAGGAGCCGCCGCGTCTAGCCTCACCCCCGCTTCTCGGCCAGAAACTGCAGTACCGTAAGGAGGTCCAACGCCGTCCGCTCCAGCGTGGAGTCCACCAGGCGCGTTTGCCGCACCGCGCGCCGCAGCGCCGGCATGTCGACCTCCACCTCCACGTCAAACGAGACCCGCGGGGCACTGACGAACGGCACCTGCAGCTCGGCCGACCAAGGCCGCGCAAAGCGCGAGTGGTCGGTGAAGGAGCGCACCATCGCCATGTCCAGGGAAAGCAGCGGGGCGACGTGCAGTGACTTGCGCTGCCGCAGGCGCGAGACGCTCGGGGCAAAAGACTCCCACTGCGCCGGGGTCCACGTCGCCGCGTCCAGCGTCTGCTCCCGCGACACCGACACACGAAAGTCCGCGCCCCACCCCGGGCAACGCACGTCGTGGAAGAAAACGCGCTCCTTTTCGGTGATCGCCAGCAGCCGGCCCCGGTTGCAGGCCTCGTTCATGGCGTACTCCAGGCGATGCTTCCCCGTCGTTCGCACCGACAGCACCGTGGAGGAGCGCGGCGGCATGGCGGCGCCGACGGCCTTCAGCGCGTCATGCAGCGCAGTGAAGCTGGGCTGCGCCACCCCGGCGAAGAAGAAGAAGGGCGTCGTCGACTGCCCGTCCAACACGGCCGGGGTGAGTGTGTGCGTCGGAAACGGGTGGGCGTAGGTGTGCCGCGACGCCGAAAAGGTCCCGAGGCGGCACTCAAACTCCACCGAAACACCGGCCGACATCTCACGACGGTAGAGGTCGAGCGCACGCCTCAGTGCGTCGCTGAGGACCTGAAGCAGAGGATCACGGTACGCCGGTATGCGCTGCAGCATGGAATCCACACGCCTATTCTACCCTCACGGAAAACAGACAGACAAATATATATATATATATATGTTGCGGAGAGAAGGAGTGGGTGCAGCAAAGCTTGTGCGTTTAGCTATAGCAATAGGACATCCAAGGGAATATTCCTCCAACCAAGCATATATTGATCTAGATACAGATATATATATAGCATGATAGATGGGGAGAGAGTGAGGCCCCAGCTGCATCTATGCTTCTCTAAACACCGCCCCCCTGTCCCCTCCTTTTTTTCTTTTTGGCTGTGAGCGTTTCTCACGACGAGTCGGAGGAGGTGCTGCTCTCAAAAGACGAACTCCTACTCCTACTGCTGCTGCTTCTGGCTTTTACCTCCCGCATAACAGGCGCTGCCGCGTGTGGCACACCCGTCCCCGGCGTCACCACGCCGCCGCTGTACGATGGGGCCAAAGGGATAGCTGGCGGCGCATATGCAGGCCCGCCGGGTCGGGACTCCAAGCCCGCCGTCGCGGGAGGCGCCGCTTGCTGCTGTGCGGCGTGCGGGACATCCACCGGGGCGGCCACTGGAACACCCGGATACAGCGGCAGCGATGGCGGAGGGCCGGATTGCAGCTGTGGCACAATCGAGGGCGGAGCGGCACTTGCTCCCGCCGCGCTGGTGCCTGTGAGCGGTGCATTCGAAGCGTTTCCCGTCGGCTCCTTCCCGCTCTCATCCTGCCGAGGGCTTGGTTGCAGCCAAACCGGCAGAGGCGCCGCCGCGGAGCCTGCCGCAGGACCTGTGGGCGGAGGCTGCGACGGCTTGGCGAGGGCCCGCGGCACAATCGCCGGACCCGGGGGCCCGTACTTTGCCAACAACGCCTCGCTTTTAAGTGAAGCTGCGCTGTTCGCCGCCGCGGGAGCCGCGCTCAGCAAGGGTGGGGAAGCCCCAGGTGCGTTCAACGGCGCGGTCGTGGCAACCGCGACGTAGGGCCTACTAACGTAATGGGGATTGGCCTGCGCAGGCCCCGAAGACGTCGGCGCGGTTGCAACAGCAGAAAGCGGAGCCGAAGCTTGAGCCGGTGCCGGAGCCGGAGCCGGAAGAGGCTGGGGCGCCGACGGCGTCGACTGTGTGTACTGTTTCTGTGCCGGCGGCTGTTGCTGTTGCTGTTGCTGTTGCGCCTGCACTTGCGGCTGTGATGGCGACGGTGCGGCCGCAGGCGCGCCGACGACGGATGTGGGGGCTGAAGGCAACGGCGGCGGCGGCGGCGGCGGCAGTGAGGGTGGTGGGGGGGCAGGCGCCGTCGCCGCAGCGGGCACCGCAGTTGGCGCCACATGCGGCGCTGCCGCCGGCCCGGCTGCGGGCTTCCTCTCCCCGCGGTCCGCAGTGTACGTCTGCCCCGCCAGTAAAGTGCCCGTCGCCGAGAGCCACGACGGAGTGTACGTCGACGATGACAGGGACGTTTGCGGTTGCTGCGACTGCGGCTGCGACGGGGGTCTGTGCAGCGCCTCCGTCGGCAAGGTGGGCGTTGTGTCCGTGCGGATGGGTTCAGGGGCAGGCGCGGCGCGCGCCCCCGCAGTGTCCCTTTTCGCGCTCCTCAGTTCCCCCACGAGTGCCTCCAACTCCGATATCTTCCGCAGCAGGGCGTTGTTTGCCGTCTCCTGCTGCCGCGCCGTGTTGTACCGCTGCAGGGCGGCGAGGTCCGGCATCACAGGGATGGCGGAGATCTCGGGCGCCACCTGCGGCGGCGGGGCATGCACCTGCGGCAACCGCGCCACCGGCTCCTGCGTTTGTTGTACCGGCGCCGGGACGGGCGACGAGGGCGGCGGGGTCGTTGCCGTCGCCCGTGCCCCGCTCATGCTAGCCTGCATCAGCATCAGCATGCTGTCGTGCTGCATGCGGTCATTGCGTTCCTGCTCCTTCTCCAGCAGCTTCTCCAGCCGATCCACCTTCTCCTGGAGCTGCCGCTGCTGCTGCGACTCGTACGCCGCCGCCGCCTCGACCTGCTGCTGTTGCTGTTGCTGTTGAGGCGGGGCCCCATCCCTCGCTGCCGCGTGTCGCTTGCGCATGTGGGACTGCAGCGACTCCTTCTTCGCATAGGCGTCGCCGCACTGCGGGCAGACGTACGAGTGCGCCGCCGAGATCCCCCCGCCGGCGGTGTTGGCGTACTCGTACGCCAGCAGGGTGCGCCGCTGCGCCTTCACCTCCTTGCGCAGGATGACGTTCTCCTCGTGCAGCCGCTCCCGCTCCGCCTCCGCCGCGTCGCGGCGGTGCTGCATCTCCTGCCCCCGCTCCGTCAGCCGCACGTTGAGCTTCGCCAGGCACTCCTGCGAGCACACCAGGTACTGAATCACCAGCTGGCAGAGGGTGAAGAGGTGCAGTATGTGCTCCGGTGTAAAGAGCGCCGCCTCGTCGCGGGTGACGCGGGCAAAGGCGAGGTTCTCCACGATGCGCTGCAGGGTGTCCACGTTCGTGTCCTTCACCAGCCGCTGCAGGTCAATGGCCACCAGCACCCCCCAGTCCAGCCGCTCCGTGCCCTGCACGAACTGGAACCCCGCGGCCGCCATGGGCGTGACTCACAGCTAGGGGAGTGTGCCACGCTCTCTCTATCGATACGCCCCCCCTCCCCACTCTCCCCTCCCGCTCGCTCTATCGCAGCTAGTGTATGTGTGTGTGTCTGGGAAAGGACGGCGAGAAGCTTCCCACCTTCCCTTTGCCGGCCACACAAGCTGGCACGGATGGACGCTAGGCAAATGATGTTCCTCTTGCAGACGTGCGTGTCCGCGGCGCAGGCCGAAAGAGGAGGGATGGAGTGAGGGAAAGAAAGAGAGCGAAAGGAGTCATGTGGAGTGGCAATACATCCCCGGAGCCGGAGAGGAAGAGAGGCGCCCACATGGAGAGTAAGAGCGTGTTATATATATATATATATATCAACGGATGCCAATGCCCACATCAAGTCCTTTACACGCACATTAACAGAAGCGCAGCCTCGAGTTTGTTGCCTTCTTTCCAGATGTTTCAATGCCCGCAAACGCAGGTGGCCAAGTGCACCACCGCCCTTCTACTACTCCCTCCCCAGCGTCATTTTTATTCCTTTTATACCCCTATGCGTGCGTGCAGGAATGGTGTGCACATGGGCATCCTTTTAGTACTCCACCTTAAACGGTATTTATCCACACACACACACACACAGTCGCCTTGCCTCCTTTCTCCTGCACACACACACACATGTATATATAAATATACCCTGCAGCTCCGTCCCTTTCCTTCTCTTCCACGTTCGCGTGCTGTCGCTATTGGTGGCTCAGTTCGTCACAAAGGAGAAGGCGTCCGCCTCACGCTCGAGCAGCTGCCGCGTGCGTCGCGTGCCGACGAGGCGGTGGAGCTCATGCGTGTCAAACCGGCAAAAGAGCGTGAGCGCAAAGGCGTTGGGCGAGGCGGCGACGAGGCGGCCGACGAGCGAGACGTAGAAGGCGGGGAAGAGCGGGGGGCTGTAGAAGACCATCACCTCCGCCAGCTTCACAAAGTAGCGCTTGAAGAAGTAGAAGCGCTCCGTCACGAGCAGCAGCGGGCGCTCGAGGTCGGTGAACTGCCCCAGCGCCTTCCGCTGCCGCGGCAGCGAGGTGTACTCGCAGATGGCGGCGAAGGAGTCGCGGTGCTCGCGGATCAGGTAGTTGCGCAGCCGCACAAAGTCAAAGTAGGACGGCACAAAGACGATGGTGCGCACGTCCCGCTCGACGAGGGGGCTGATTTTCGTCGCGTAGACCTCGCGGGTGAAGAAGTCGAAGCGGGCGTCGTCGCACGTCTTCGGGTCGGCGCCCGCGTCAAAGCGCAGGAAGTGCTGCCGCACCGGCACCATCACCTGCGCCAGCACCCCTGCCTCCTCGCGGCGCTGCAGCAGCACCCGGCCGGAGTTGTTCACGCCGCGGCGAAACGTCGCCAGGAGCGTCGCGTTCGTCAGGTCGGTGCACATAATTGTCTGCCGGTGCCGCCCGCTCTGCCCCGCAAGCGCCCACGCGTACACCCGCCGCAGGTCGGAGAGCCCGTGGGTGGTGTCCTTCGGCCGCTTGTTCAGCAGCCGCAGCACCTCCTCCACGTGCTGCCAATTCTGCATGAGCAGCACGTGGGCCTCGTCAAGGAGGCAGACCTCAATGGAGGCCAGCGACACCAGCACGTCGCCGCTGCGTTCCAGCCGGCGCCGCAGGCCAAGCGGGGAGCAGAGTATCACGTCGCTGTTCAGCGGGTGTGTGTAGACCCGCACCCGGCTCGGCTCCAGGCGAACCCCGACGCAGAACGCGTCGTCAATGTTGCCGGCAAACTGCCGCTGGTAGTCGCGTGGGCGGCGCTTGAAGGTGGGGTCGGCCGCCTCCGCCAGCTCCGTGAAGTCCTCGTTGAACATGGCCAGCTTGCCGCACTCCCCGGGCGACGCCCGCAGCAGCTTCACAAGCGTTGTCATGTAGCGATGGGCGATGTTGCGCATGGGCAGCAGGATGATAATCCGCGTCCTGCCAAAGCCACGGTCGCGAAACTCGTACGCCTCCTCGTCCTCGTCTTCTTCCTCCTCCTCCTCCGCTGCCTCTCCACGCTTCTTGCCGGCGTCCGTCATTCGCCGCTTCTTCTGCCGCCGCTTGCGCTCCCGCCTACGCTCCTGCAGGAGGGCGTCGTGCGCCAGCACGACAGAGCGCGCCTTGAACCAGTGGTTGACGGCGTGGAGGAGGAAGATCTCGCACCGCGCGTCCGCGTTTTCCCACGAGCGGCAGCAGTCCATCACGTCCGGGTACCCCTGCAGGAGGTCTAGCAGGCCTCGCTCCTCCGCCGTCATCGGCCCCCGCGACTCCGCGGCGCAGTAGTCCAGCCACTTTGCCCACAGCGTCTCATGCATGTACGGCGGCCTCTGCGGGTGGCTCTTCCCGAGCACAAAGGGTGCGTGCAGGAGGTGGCGCACGGCGTGGGCAGAGGCCGCCACGGCGATGTTGGCGCCGCCACCCGCCTGCGGCCGCATGGGGCTTGTGTCAATGCCGCCGTGCTTGTCCTGGTGGTACTTCACAAACCACGGGTCGTTGGGCGTCACGACGTCCTGCAGAGCCGCAAGGCCTGTCGTGCCGGGGCGGAACTGCGGCAGGAGCTGCCCCGCCTCCTCCATCCGCTGCTGCTCCCCCGCCGCCGCCGCCTCGTCGTCGCCGGCCGCCACAACGCTGTCGTCGTCCTCGTACTCGTCCTCCTTCCCAACGTCCGCGTCTTCCTCCTCCTCCTCCTCGTAGTCACCCTCCTCCTCTTCTTCCTCCTCCTCCTCGTAGTCACCCTCTTCCTCTTCCTCTTCCTCTTCCTCCTCCGCCTCGCCGTCAGACATTACGTCTAGCGGCACTTCCGCGTCTTCCTCCTCCTCCTCCGCCTCTTCTGCCGACAGGTACGCCCGCCAGTCGTCCTCCTCCCCGCTCGGCTGCTCCGCCGCCTCCGTAGCGCCCCGCTCGTCCCCTGCCGGGGCGCCGTTGCCGTTCGGCTCGCCGCAGCGGCGGCGTTTCGTGCGGCCGCTGCCGCCGGCCGCTGCATCCGCGCCAATCAGGCGCCGCAGCCGCAGCAGCGATTTCTCCTGCCGGTGCGCCTCCGTCTCCGAGTCGCTGGAGTCCGCGTCGTTGTTGTCGCCGTCCTCGCTGCTGCTGCTGCTGATGGCGGCGAGCGCCTCCGCCTCCCGCCTGGCGGCGTAGTAGTCCACCCGCTCGTTGTGCTTGGCGCGGCGCTCCT